GTGCCTTGGAGTTCATTAGTTTTTCAGATTTTCTTACATATTTTCCAACACTTCATACACAACATAAACTTCCGATTACGGTACTTTCTTTACTTTATCCACTTCTTCATACACAAAACTTGAATACTTAGACACACAACTATCTTTATCTCTGTTACTTCAGTCTTGACCATCGCAATTTTTATGTCATGAATAACACTCTTCTATTGTGTAACTCGTAAATATGCAATGCATGTTAAAGGGATAAAATTTTACATTGAATAAAGATGAAAATATAGACTAACTTATAACACTTTTGGGCTACTCCTCTTAATAATGCTGTATTTTTAAGATGGAACTTCAAATTTTAATATGATATAGAACTCATTAAGTTCCAATGAACAATTCGATTCGATTAAGACTAAAAAAATAAGCGCGCAGATTTCAAGTTTGGTTAACTCAAACGAGCCACCATCTTGCAAAAATATGTTAAGAGATAAAATCTCATATCGAATAGAGATGAAAATATAAACCAACTTATAAATGTTTGGGATACTCTTAGAGGGTGTTTGATGGGGATTAAAATTGAATTTTTAGTAGATTGTGATAGAAGTATTTGGAACCCATGAAAGATGTGGTTAAAATTGATTGTTTGATTTTGACTTAAATTAAAATCTGATTTTAATCAGAAACAAACAAGACCTTAATAATGTTATACTTTTAAGATGGAACTCCAAATCTTAATAATGCATAAATTATACTATATCCGTCCCATAAAGATAGACTTGTTTCTACTATTCCACATGAAAAAATGTAGTTAATATAGTTGAAAATGTGAATTTTTCTTACATTTTTTGTAATATACCCCTACATTAAATAATTTTATATATGATAAGTTTATATTTTTTGATAACAAGATACATTACATAGACATATATTAAAAAACTAAAAAAAATATCAATAATTTCAATAAGAAAAGTGCCTATAATTTGTAACTGTATAAAATAAAGGGAAAATTTCATAACTAAGAAATTAAGTATACTCTATTTCAAAACTAAGAAACAATGTTTTATTATTTCAAATTCAGATATTAATTAAATTTATTTATGAAATAATTAATCAAAAATATATTTTATTACTTAAATATATTATGGTCACAATTATGTGTTTATATGTCACAACTTATTTTTCGATCACATATTATCAAATTAATTGGTCATAAATTATTTTTCAGTTACAAATCAAAAAATTTATAGGTCACAATTTATTTTTTGGTTACAAGTTGTATAGGTAGCAACTTATTTCATAGTCACAAATTTCAAATTTTATAGGTCACAAATTATTTCACGATTACAAAATTATCAAATTAATTGGTCACAATTTACCAAATTTCGAGTCACAATTATAAATTTAGTCACAATCACTTGTTCTTCTAGGTCACATATTATATATTAGTCACAAATTAACAATTTATTGGTCACAACACCAAAACAATTGGTCACAACACTCTTCCGACCACCATCGTGAGCACCACCACCTCCAAAACCACTATCACCTCACCACAGCACCCGCAACACCAGCACCACACCACATACCACCACTGCACACCGCATCACCCACACCCCACTACAACCATCTCATCTATCTCCATTTACACTACACCCCACCACCAACCCCACAAAAAAATCCACAAACTTGTCGCCCCCACCACCACAGCACACTATCATCGCCTACATCACCAACAGCTCAAAAACTACATCAAAATATGTCGAAAAATCACCACATAAACCTCAACAAGGGGCATTGTGATATGTAACACTGGAGAAAAGTTGAACTCTGTAAACCGCAACGCCGAAGAAAAATTTAGATCCACGAGTGGCAAAGTCACCAAGCAGAACCATTTAGGTGCATCGCATCGCATCACGTCACCTCAACTCCACAACGCAAAGTTGGTTTTGCTCCTCGCATAGCGCATCCACTTAGACGAAGAGGTAGAGTTGCGCATCCACTGAGGCAAGGAGCTGCGCATCCATTAAGATGAGGCACCAACGTCGTGCCTCAACGCCTTAGTTGATGTGTTGCCGGGGAAGACCAAGGAAATTATAGAAAGAGAAATTAGGGTTTGGGGTGAATGAAGGTAGGTTGGGTAGGTTGTATGGATTAATTTAAATTGGGGTGGGTGTTTTGGTGGGTGGGGTGTTTGTAGATTTATTCTATTTTATAATATTATTGTTAATATTTAAAAATTATGTTATCATCTTATTTTTGTATTAAAAACTTTACATCTGAATTTTGAAGTTGAAACTTAAAAAATCTGGTAAGTGTAATTTCCACAAAAATAAATTACAGGGCATTCTTAGACTCTCCACTTTTCTCCGCTTCAAGATGCTTTGTCAGTTCCTCATTGTTTACCCCTTTTTGTGACAACGGTAATGCTTCATTTCTCTCCTTGACCTGTTGAAAATGATCGTCATTCTGACAGCAATTGCTTCCTCGTGATGCACCTCTAACATTGTCTCAAACTTTACTAACAAAACTTGATCGTCATGAAACCAAAGAACAAGTAGAAAATAAAACAACACGAATAAGTATGGTTCAGCAAACATGTCGACGATTATGAAAGAAGTGTTAAGAATTTGGGTTCCATCTTAAAAGGTCAACCTTATTAAGAGGAGTAGTCCAAGATCTTTATTAATTGGTCTGTGTCAACATCATTTGTCGATATGGGATATATATCTCTTAACACGCCCCCTCAAGATGGTGGCTCATTTGAGCAGACCAATCTTGAAATCCACGTGCTCATTTTAGAGTCTCAACGGGATCAAATCGTTCGTTTGAGCATAGTGGGCTCTGATACCATGTTAAGAATTTGGG